TATTATAAATATACATAATAAAAAAATATAAATCCCTCTCACGAGCAAATGCCCCCTAGGTGGGTTATGACCTCCTCCAGCTGCTCACCCTGGTGACAGCCAGCTCTAATCCATCCCTCTCCTCCCCACCGAGCACCAGCATCAAGCACAAGCTTTGATAAATCCAATGCTCCAGCCTGGCCTTCCTGGTCCTGGGATTTGCTGGAGCCATCAGAAATAATCTGGTTCCAGTCCTGAACCAAGGCATTCCCATGAGGGATGGTTGTAAGGGCCCTTTGCAGCCTGTTTGCCCTAATAAAGGGGGCAGCAGTACCGTAGGTCTTATCATGCATGCAGCTGCAAACAAACCCTCCTGCCAGAGGAGGGGGCTGAGACCCCATTTACGGTAACCCCCTTGATATCTGCTGCCCCAGGGGCTTCTGCATTACCTGCAGGCTTCGCCCCTCCAGGTTTCATCCCATTGACACAAAGGCAACTTGGGAAGAAGCACAGATGCCAGCTGAGACCCCCACCAGCAGCCCTCCAGCTGTCCATGAGCAGCTCATCTCACGGCTTGACTGAGGGCCAGGTTTTAATCAGCTTGACGCCCCATTAGTTCCAGATAACGCGAGTCAGGGCTGGTTGGTGATGGAAATACCACAAGGCAGTCAGATGCCAAGGAGACATCCAAGCCCGCGCTCCCTGCTCCCATCTCAGCTGGCCAAGGCAGTCAGCCTCCATCCCTCGATGGACTGCTATTCCCCACAGGAAAACCGGGGGCGGGCGGTGGGATTGGGTATTTGGCAAGCTCAGGAACATCATCTGCTAGAAAGGCAGGAGTGCTTCACTCCGCTTCGGGCTGTTGCTTTGCCTTCGAACTGATGCCAAACCCTCTCAGCTGGGGAGAGGAATTCCTCCATGGCCATGACCTGGCCCTCCTGGCAGGTTCAAGAGCAAGAAACTGCTCTTCAAGAGCAAAAAGTTGCTCTTGAGACCTCAAGGGACCAACCCAAATCCCGGCACAACCTGGTCCCCAGCCCATCAATCATTAACCCTTCCTGGAGGAGCTTTCCTTGCCCAAAGCAGTTTAACTGGGACTCCAGCAGCGCTGCCCGTTAGTCAAGATGATGTTTAAGCTCAGAAACGTGCTTTGCAAAGCTCCCTGGGAAACGCATCACTCCACTTGACAGAGCCTCTGTTGCTGGGCAAACCGCGGTCAACCCAGGAGAAGCCCGGCAGTTCAATCCTGAACCTTCCTGTCCTCAAGCACTGCAGGGGATTTCCACATCAGCTGGGCATTTTCCCCACGCTTTCCATAAACCTTATCTAGAACATAAGTCATGCTCAAATCACTGGCTGAGCTATCACCTTCTCTCCTTGCTCTCCAAAGTCTTCCTGCAGATACCGCCCAACATCAGCCAACAAAGATATGCTCCAGCCCAAGCATTTTTTCCAGCTAAGAGAGACATTTTACCAGCCAAACCACCTCCTCCACCAAAGGAGTTGGGTATTTTTAGCAAAGAGGAGACTCGAAGAGGCTCAGCATTTGCTGGAAAAGGTACAGGCAACGGTGGCTGCTGCAGCACAACCCCATCTCCTCCTGCCAGCCCACCTTGACAGCTTTGCCTTGGTGAGACCCAAGACAATAAAGTTGGTGGCATCTCAAACCACCTTTTTCCCCCATCTCAAGCGTCTCCTTCCCCAGGGATGCACACGGAGTGTGGCCGCTGGTTTGTCTTCTGGGCAAAGAGGTTGGTTCAACAGGCATAGGCTGGTGTCACATCCCTCCAGCCTTACCCAGGCTTCTCCTTGGAGATGCTCCTTGGAGTGACCCAAGGCCTTACCTGGTATTTATCTGGGTCAGCTCCTCCAGCCTGAGCAACAAAGAGCCCAGAGCCATCTTCCAGCTCCATCTCATCCGGGGAGCGCTCAAAATGGATCCGCTCGTGCTCCTCACAGTCCAGGTAGAGAACAACTTCATCCTCCTCCACGCTGATGGCAAAGCGTGTCCACTGATTCAGCAAGGTGGGCACGGTGAACATAGCTGCTACATATGAGCGTGGCGAGCCCGGCTCTGTGTAATAGAAGATGATCTGCTGCTTGCCTGCCCGCAGCTCCGAGAGCTTGACACCCACATAGATGATGCTCTGCGAGGAGTCCGTGATGGCAAAGAGCATGCCAGCCCGGGAAGTGGTGGGCTGGATGTGGAACAGGAGGGAAAAGTCCCGGTAGAAAGGGCTCGGCAGGTGGTACCGGGCCACCTGGCCTGTGTTGGCATTGGGGCCAAAGACGTAGCCAGGGTTGTTGTCAGGGCCATAAATTTTGACGATCTCCTCTGGTGGGGGGTCTCCGATCAGCTCCAGGAGGCTGATCTCGGTGCGCATGTTCTCTGCAAGAGAAAGAGAAAGGGGATGGTCACAACCGGCCTGGTAAGGATGGTCACCCTCAGCAAGGTGCCGTGGGAGGACACCACTGGCCATGCCTCCCCCAAACGCCACTCTTCAGTGGCTCCCTCTGCTCCCCCTCCCCAGGGTCCAGGATGAAGGCTGCAGGTTGGCCAACGCAGCAAAGCTCGTTGAGCTGCTCCCACCACACGGTTGGGATGCGGCTCCCAAAATGTCACCCATTCCCTGAGATGGGGAACATCCCTGAGATGGGACAAAACCAAAGGGATCTTGCCCATGGTAGCAACATGCCCATGCAGGCAGGGGGGGATGCTGCCGGAGCACCAGGATGCTGAACAACCACGGAGCTGCAAGGAAGTGTGTTGCATGCATACCCGCTCTGGGGTCAAAGTGACCCCCCACGTCATCCCGGGACAAGCTCATGGGTCACCCTGTCTGGGAACAAATCAGAGCCATCCCCTTGCAACACCCTGGGAATGGGGCTTGAGCCAGCACGCCCTGTCAGCTTCCCAGATGATCTCAATTTGGAGCTCGCCTCCTTTCCTGACTCCTTTTTCTCAAGGCACTTGGGGAAGTTCTGCTCAGGACGGTCTCTCCTACATGACACAGCTGAACATCTGGCTGGGGCGAGCCGGCCCTCTGTACGCCAGCTCCCGTTGTTTTGGCAGCAGACACATCCTCATCGCCCACACACCGGGCGCTGGATTCCACCTCTCCTATGTCAACTGCTGGGGCGGGTGCCAACTCAACGTGATCGAGCATGCAGGGTGCTTTTTAACTCCGCGTTTCCCGGGAGCAAGGAAACCCAAGCACCCTGGCTCCAAAACGGCCAAGGGCTCTGCACCAGGAACAGATGCTTGGTGCTAACTTTGGCCCCATCCCGAGTCAGGAGCAGGAGCTGAGACAATTCAGTGTCCCCAACGCCATCCCTGGTGTTTCATGTGAGCAATGGGTGGTTGGGTGGTTATTAGAGGTGTGTTGAGCCCAGGAAAACCAGCCAGGAACCTCCACCCTGCTCTGGAGCCAGGCATTCTCCTCCAGAGCTCTTGAAAAAAAAAAAAAAAAAGAAGAGAAAAAAAAAAAAAAAAAAAAAGAAAAAAAAAAAAAAAAGAAGAAAAAAAAAAAAAAAGAAGAAGAAATCAGCCCAGCCTTGCCCAGCCTGGAAGGAAAACACATCTCTTGGGATGGTGGGAGGAGATGAAAACCTGGGTGCCTCTTCCAAAGCCTGGGGGCACCTGCGCACACGGAGCATCCCCCTGCCAAGCCCCAATGCCAGTGCCAGCCCCATGACAGGGACCCAGGCAGTAGGGACATTAGAAATGCCACCGATTAGAGGTGGGGACAAGTTTTCTCTCTGCCAGACCCCAGACCCACTGATTCTCTCCTGAGCCTGCTGCTCTGCAACTACTGTGTGCCCACTCTGCTCTCTCAAGCCCCCAGTCACTCCCAAGCTTGGCATCCCAAAACTTAGCACCTGGCTGGGAGGAAACCTTCCTCCCAGTCTTGCACCAGCCCTAATCCCCTCATCTGCCCTGCACTGGGATCAGGCTTCCCCATGGGGCATCCCCAGCCCGCCTGGAGGGGAAGGGCTCAGTACAGCTCCTCTGCCTCTGCCCAAATGTGTGCAACCCTACGCCAAAAATGATGGGCGAGAGAGTGGGGCTCTCCCAGACCTGCAGCAAGCCCCAGCCTGGCACCCACCCTTGAGACACCATATGCTCAGGCACCCCACACGCTCGTTCCCACTGTCCCATCTCCAGCCATGCCATCCCCAGCCACGCCAGCCACCCTGCAGCAGGCAGCTGCGGCCAAGCTGACCACAAACACCAAGATGCAGGGATGGAGCATATCTCGGGCTGGAGGAAGCCAAATTCACAGCAGCTTTAAGGGAACAGGAAACCAGAGCTTCCTCCCAGGGGTCCACACTGGTGTAAGAGCCGGCGCTGCAATTTCTGTAGCCAGACAAGCCATCGTCTGCCCCCAGGGCTTGGAATGACGGGGACAGGCTGAAAGAGGCTTTTGTTAGCAATGCAATTTTCAACCATGCTCCCCTTGGTGTTTCAGCTGGCTCTGGGATCCTCCCTCCTCTCCAAACATGCCAGTCACCCCTGAGCCTGGGATGGGAGCTTGCTGCCAGTGCTTCCAAAAGCAAACGGGGACACATCTTTCCCCTGCGGAACGCACAAAGTAGGCAGAGGCCAGGGCTGTGAGGCCAGATGGGGTTGGGCTGCTGGGGGGAGGTAAGGGGAGACCCCTTCAAACAGCTGCTCCCCTGTAAAAGCCAAGTGCCCCTTCTCAACCCCAAACCTTTCAGGCCATGCCTGCTTTTTCCAAAGGGCACCCGGAGCCCAAATATTGCACCCCCTCCTCCCTGTGTCAAACCAGCAGCACCCACCGCGGAGCACAGAGAACCAGAGATGGCTGATGCTGCAGTGTTTTTGGGAAGGATACTGGCACAGGATGGCTGTGGGGATGTCTCTGGCTGCAATGACCCAGCCATTTGCTCCTGTTGCCATTGGAAAGGCCCCAGGGATGCTCCAAGCCACCTTCCCACTCTGCCATGACCTTCCTGACTGGCCCAAGCCGGGGCTGCCAGCGTGGTCCCATGCATCCCATCCCAGCTGGGATGCGGGGGACCCCAGCATACAGGAGCATCTCAAGTCATTCCATGTACCACAGTCCCCATGTCCCCCACCTTTTCTCAATGCTGCCCATCCGGGAGTGCGCGCCTCCCCCCGAGCATCCCCATGATCCTGCTGCACCCCCCCGGGGTTGGCCAGGAAACAGAGCCGCTTTGATGCCAAGGGGACCATGTGTGTGACCCTTGTCCGCTGGCCCCCAACTAAATTGCCCCTCTGATGGCAGCGGGTGTCTCGCTGCTCCTGGTCGGCAGCCCCAGGCCATCACCCAAGGGCGCGGGGGCCCAGCACGGGAACACAGCCTCATTCAGAGGGCTCGGCGGGGGGAGCAGCAAGCTCCCACTCCTGCTTTCATCCCAAACTGTGCTCTTGCTCTTACACCCCGACATGCATTTCTCCGAGTGCCAGTCCCCCCCACTCCCTTCCTTCCTCCCCCACCCCCCACAAAGAGGCACATCTTGGTTGACTTACACAAGGGTCACAACCCTTGTGTAATGACGAAGCCAGAGGCGAGGCAACCTCTCCTGCCTGCCAAGCAGGGGGGGATCAGACATTAGCCGTTGGGTAAATTATTAACCCCAAGGCAAAGGGCCGCTCTGGGAGAGGGAAGCATGCAAGCACGGCCACAGGTCACCTTGAAGCCTCCCCACTGCCACAGTCCCTGAGGCTACTGCGGTCAGGTGGGTGCAAGGTCCTGGTCTTTCCCTCGTCCCTGCAGGGAGCTGACAGCTCTGCAAGAGCCCCACTCCTGGGAGGGACACCCCAAAGCCCTTTGGCTTTGCTGCACTCTGTGGCACCTGCAAACTGGCCCTGAATGCCAGCATGATGCTCTTGGGGAGCATCTCTTGTCCTGGCCGCTGGGACGTTGTCTTTTAACCTGGCCACTGTATTTCCCTTGGCGCCTAAAAACACGGGGGAGTTTGGAGAGGGGAGACACACACACACAGATACATCACCCAGCTGCATTACCTGCAGAAGCATTAATAAAGACACAAGAATACCCTTCGTCCTCCTTGGGGAGAGCATCACAAGGCAGAGGCAGGGGCCCGCCG